AGGATTAAACAAGATAAAATGTGAGTAAGCACACTTTCTAAGCTGTAAAGCTTATGGAGGAAAGTGTTATTATTATGATCTAATCTAAAGTTTTAGCACATCTTTTTCCTGTTTTTCAGGAAATAGGGAGGAAAAGAAGAGCTGTTCCTCACACTCTGAAGACAGCATGAGACATGAGAATTAAGTTGCCCTCCCCTCAGCCGAAGCATCTAGGCAGAGCCTGTGGTCTTCACAGATGTTGAGAGAGCAGCAGTTTCATTTTACAAGTGACCTCAGAATAGACAGAGGTCAAAAGCCAGCCCACTGCAGGAATCCTGTGGCCTGTGGGGTCCTCCAGAAGCCGGAGGTTGACGCAACAATGGAAAACTGAGTGCCAGAGCAGGGATGGGAGGAAGACGCAGCTTCTCTGAGCCAAGTACCAGCTTGATAGGTGACATTGGGGCATTAGCATCGGGCTGGCTAATTGATTTGTTCCTCTTACAGAAGCATCTGTCTCTGCAAAAATGAGGTGGCCACCAGCTCTGGCATGGTTGCTAGGAGAGCATCCAGGATCTCCAAGGCTACTTTCTGCCCCAGCCAATGGGACGAGGGCTTTTTGAGAACCAGGAGAGTGCCCATGGGAACCGCCTGCAGGACAAGAGGAGCAAGGGCGACCTCACATTCAGGCCTGCACCTGGAGCTCCTGGGGCCAAGGAGCCAGGCTGGGGAAAGGGAGGACAAGGAGAAGGCAGTGGGAGGGGTGCTGGGTCCTGAAGCTGGAGTCTGAGTACCACCCATGTGGCCCATTCAGAAATTTCTCTTTCTGCCCTCCCTCATCCTAGAGCCTTCCTAGCAGGCTCAAGGGGAGACCAAGTCACCTGGCCTGGCCGGAGGCGGGGCTGCTGAGCGGTCCAGGGCAGGGTCCTAACCACTGTCTGTTCCAGTGAGATCTAATAAGGGGAGGGGAGCAGGTAATATAAGGCCTGCTGGGAGCTTGGGAGGCCCTGCTTCTTCAGAGACATGCTGAGAACTCCAGCAGGTCCCCGCACTGAGCAGTGGTCTGTTCTGTCAGCTCTATAATCCCCCCACCTGGGACAGAAAGCCTGACTATCTTCAGGGCTCTGAACTACCCTAAAAACCTCAGCCAGTCATTCGCTAGGTTGACTACAGAGATTTCCCAATCAGGCACCTTCAGGCTGACGAGATACGTCCTACTCCTGAAATAGACTCCAGTCTTCTCCCAATTCCCAGAAGAAAAAAGTTAATGGAAAGAAGTTCCTCCATATTAAGCTGTCTCTCCTGTAAATTTTTTTTCTTGAGACTGGCTACCTCTTGTCTATATATGAACTTGGTAGGTGATTTTACCTGCTTTAGCATAAACTGTTTATTTTGGGTTACATACATCTTTGTTTTGTTGTTAATTCACAAAGAAGTACCTTGACTTTGCAGCTGCTCCACTATTGAACAAGTTGTTAGAACCTGAGTTCTACCTTTTGACTAAAGGCAAAAGGAATTGTGAGGAAGGTGACTTAACTGCAGCCACAGTTACCCTCCACCATCAAAGTCATCAAAGGTATCAAAGCCACAGTTTTTAAAAATGTATACCATCTAACCAGCCCAGGTGATGACCTGGCTTCCCACTTCACGGAGGAAAAGAGAATGATCAGAAGACAACTCCACAAAATCCCACAACAATATCTGCCCACTTATCACATAGTTTGTCTTCCTGATTATTCGATGAACCCAACCTGCCTTGATCTAATGTCCACCACTCCTTGACCCAAGCCCTTGTCTCTCTCTCCTACTCAAGGACAATGCTCCAGTAATTAATTCTCTCTTCCATATCATCAGTTTTCACTCTCTGTCAGACAAGTCCCATCCACAGACACACATGGTGTTATTTCTTTCATCTTAGTGAAAACACTTCCTTCACCAGCTGTTACCCTATTTCCTTGCTCCCCTCTGCAGCAAACTCTTCAAAAGAGCTGTCTATGTTGATTGTCTCAGTTCCTCTCCTCCCACCCTTTCTTACACCATCTTTAATCAAACATTTCTCACGGCTCTGGTCAGGGAGCTCCATATTGCTACACGGCTCAAATTCAACGTGATCAAATGTGAACTCTTAATCTTTCCCATGCAAACTTGTTCTACATTCTTCTGAATTGATGGCAGTTCCGTCCTCCTGCTTACTCAGACTGTCTTTGACTCCTATCTTTCTCCTATTCTTCACATCCAATCATCAGTGAATCCTATTGACCCTACCTTCCAGAATATAAGATCCAGTTGCTGCTTCTCACCAAGCACTGCTACCATCTTGGTTCAAGCCACCATTCTCTCTCACCCAGACATAGCTGGAGCCTTCTAAGTGCTCTCCTTCTCTCCACCAGTGCCTCTCTGCAGTCAATTTTGGACACAATAGCCAGTATGCAGTGTGATTCTCTTAAATAGGCAGCTCACCTCATTCCTCTCTGCTCAGCATCCTGCAGTATGTCCTCATTTCACTTAGAGTAGAAACCAAAGCCCTCCCGATGGCCAGCAAAGCCTGACGCAGCCTCGTGTACCTGTTACTCCCTGACTTCACGTCCTCTCTCCCCTTCACTCTGTTCCACCACAACGGCCTCCGCACCGGTCCTGGGACATGGCTGGCACACCCCCACAGCACGTGCACTGCTGTTTCCTCTGCAGGGAATGCTCTTCCCCTAAATACCATCATGACTAAGTTCCTCATCTTCTTTAAGTCTTTGCTCAAATACCACCCTGTCCACGAGGCCTGTCTTGGCCATCTGACGTCATAGGCACACTGCCCCCCACCCCAGCATTCGCAGGCTTCCTTATCCTACTGGTGTTTTTCTCTTCTTCCACAGCACTTAACATCTTTTACCACACTAGAAACTTTATGCATTTATGTTCACTGACTATGTTCCCTTGCTAAAACTTAAACTGCAAAAGGGCAAGTATCTTTGCTATTTTATTCACTGGTCTGCCCTGAGCCCTTAAGGCGGTGCCTGACATGTAGTCAACATTAAAAAAATTTTGTTGAATAATGAACAACTATTATCTGTAATTATTACAAAAGCCTCACAAGATTTTTTTTTACTATTTACATTTTACAGATGATGAAACCAAGGAAAAGGGAATGAACAATTTTCAGTCTCACCGTGCGCCAGACTCTCCATATGCACTATCTTATTTATTCCTCCCGTGTTCCAAGGCTCAGAGGGGTTAAGTGGCTTCCTGAAATCACATAAGTGGTGAGAAGCCAAGGCCCACTGTGAACAAGGTCTGACATAAAACCGCAGAGGAGGCCCGACAGCTCTCCCCACTCCTCCACCAAACACCCGCCACACCCTGGGCTGGTCAGGGATCTGCAGTTCCCTGAGACACAACTGTCTTTGGCCCAGAGAATCCACCACATCAAGCCCTGATGGCATCCCTTGAGGGTCCTGTCTGGAGACCAGCTGCCACTCTCTACCTTTCCTCCTGCCCCCATGTTCAGGCACCCATCCCACCAGTGACTCATGGTGACTGACAGTCACACAGCCAGCCCCAGGCCCTCCAACTCACAAATCCAGGAAGAGGTTTCTGGTATTCACTTGTCAACCTTGCAAACATTTTTCCCAGTTTTTATCAGGGCTTTCCAGGCCTTGGAGTCCAGAGAAGTACACATTGGCCCACGACTTGTCACTGCCTCTGTCAGAAAAGAACACTAGCTCTTCCGTCAAGACCATCCTCAAAGCCCTGAAGACACTGACAACCAATGGTAATTCCAACACTATTGGCTCCTAGGACATGCTAGATGCTCCTGAATGCTTTATGGACATCACACCTCATTTAATTCACACAGCACTGTAAGGAAGGTACTGTTAACAACCCTATTTGCAGATGAGAAAAACGGACGTACAAGGAGGTTCAGTCACATTCCTAAGGGACTATAAATGGTAAGTAATCGAGCCAAGATTTCAACCCAGGCCTCCTACCCCCACAGCCTGTGTTTCACTGAGACCCCACACTTCAGCATAAGAGCACGTGGAACACGTAAACAGCACCTCGGGCTGTTGAGAGCTCCAGCACCCTCCACAGCAAAGGCATTCCTGGTCACGGGCAACAGCCAGAGTAAACAAACTGACACTGTATCTTCTAATACAGCTATCCGCGGTTAACTTCTTTACCGTCTTACAGACCCCATTCTTCCCTTCCTAAAGAACCAGCCCTGCATTTTCCGCTAGAGCTGCCATCTATTATTCATGGCTAAATGTAGCATTTCCACATTGCCAACATCACACAGTATCTTCACACCAAGCCTTCTCAGCCTGCTCCCCATCTCAGCCTCTCTCACCGCTGTCTTTTCTTTTTCCATCTACTCATTAACTAAGGGCAGCCTCCCTTCTCCTAAGCACCAGTTTCACATCTGCTTCCCAGTGGCTGTGTGGCTCTGTCTTGTTCCTAAAGCAATCTCTTAGGGGGCTCATTAATCATTTATCACACACACTTCCACCTGCCTCGCTTTTCTTCCTTCTTCTCTTTTAAACACTGATTACTTGATCTTTAGAATTGCATACATTTCCACTTACCAGATATTGGTCAGACATCCACTCTGTGCCTGCCTATTGTGGTGACATCTCTGAAATAGCTGTCTTTGGAAAAGCTATGGTTTGACCAAATAGTGAAAGCAACTTTAAAACCTCTGAAGAAGTCTCAGGAGGAGAGAAAGATCCCTGTAGGCTGGAGGAAATCAGGAAGGCTTCATGGAGGAGGTGAAGTTTGCGCTGTTCTTGGATAGGATTTAGCCAAAGGGAATCTTACATGCAAAGGCAAGGAGGTGGAAGTTAGTAAGGCTTAGTCAAGTACCAAGGAAAAGATTCCAGTTGGAGAAACATGAGAGAGAAGTTTGGATGAAATCCTAAAAGGCCTTAATGCCAAATGAAAAGTCACTGAGATCATATTCTGGAAGTGCCAAACTGCCTGTGTTGCACACTTTCTCTGCTGATCTGCCACAGAATTCTCTCAAGAATGATACTCTGGTGTTGTATGAAAGGAGAGAAGGCTAGCACTCCCCCACCTCCCACAAGGACGGAGGAGGCCCTCGGGCCTGACAACACGCATATGGTTAAGGCATTGCCACCCACTTCGTGGTATCTAACCATTGTTTTTAATCAGTTATACTTCAATTTTTTTTAATGAAAAAAAATACGGGAAAACGGAAGAATAATATTCTGTGCCTATTGTCCCAGGGTCAGTAAGATACCAACAAGAGGCTCTCCATCACTTACTCAGCCCCTGGCCCAGAAGATATGTCTGTCCACTAGACACACACACACACACACACACACACACACACACACACACACACCACACACACACACACACACACTCTCACACAGAGAAATCTGAATAGCCCATTCCTAGGCTATGACACTCTCTGACAAACAAACTCAGCAGCTTTCTGTTCCATCCTGGAGTCAAACCCATTCTGCATAAAGAATTCAGCCAGCGCCTAAGATGCCATAAGCCAAGAGTTTACCTCACCCCCTCCTCCAAGATACAGCTCAGCTCCCGGGCCACTTGCCTGGGCCCACAGCCCCCACACATGTTCTGACCCCTGCGGGTGTTTCAGAATACAAGGGACAGCTCAGTTCACCTGCGACTCAGCCCCCTGAGAGTCAGGGTCTCCTCAGTGTCCACCTACACAGTGATCCCTAAGCTGAGCTGTTTCTCACATGGTGGTCAACCCACATCCCACCCAACATGCACCCTAGACCCAGGTTAGGTGGGAACACATCCACCCTGCTCAGCAATCCCAACCCTACCTTCCTCCGCTTCTCCCTACAAATGGACAGACTGTCCCTAGAAGCAGGTCAGTGCCAGCCACCAGCCACCAGCCACAAACATCCAACCCCTCCCATCCCGGTGCCGGGCCCCTGGCCTCCAGCCCCACTCCAAGCAGAGAGAGCCAGTGGAAGCAGGGAGGCTGCAAAAGGGAGAAGAGCATGAGAAGCCCCGTCATCAATCTCTGATGCCATTTCTTGCTATATTTTTTTTTGCATTGTGGTAAAATACACGTAACACAAAATCCACCATTTTAAAGCTTACGATTCAGTAGCATTTAGCACATTTACAATGTTGTGCAACTATCACCACTACCTAGTTTTGGGACGTTCTCATTTCTCCAAAGGAAACTCTGTACCCATCAAGCCGTCTCTGGCCAAGCCATCCCACTAATCAGCTTTCTATCTCTATGGATTTGCCTATTCTGAATATTTTATATAAATAGAGCACGTGTCCTTTCGTCTTTGGCTTCCTTGATGGTGTTTTGAATCCATCCTTATGCATGTTGAAAACCCTGAGGGTCTAGGCTCTAATGACAAAGAACAGGGTCTTGCCTGATGGACCCAAAACACCAACCAGATGGAGTCTTGAGAAACATGGCCCACCTGCCTTCACACATAGAAGCTGAGTATCCTCACCCTACAGAGGGCCAGGCCCACCTACTTAGTCGAGGCTCTGTGAGGCCCCAAGAGATCTAAACTAGAGGCAGAAGCTACAGCTTCCCTGAGCAACCCAAATGGGGGGCTTCAGCTTAGAGGAAATGACAGGGAGGTAAAGGAAAGGCCTGGGGCAGTCAAGGAAAGCTTCACAGAAGAAGCAGCGCTGATTCTGGTCCTGAAAAGGTGGTCAGGACTCACAGAGATGGCATTTAACTGCCATCTATATTTGGATATTCCCAATGTCTACCTCCACCTTTGACTTCATCCCTGAACTCCTGACTCATGCATCCAGTTGCCCACAAGGCATCTCCACCTGGGAGTCTGACAGGCTTCTCCAAATGAAAATTCATTTGCCTGCTCTCTACACCAGTTGCTCAAGTCAGAAACATTAGGAACCCACCCTCGACTTCTTCCTTTCCCTAATACAGCACGTTCAATCCATCAGCAAATTGTATTGTCTCCACGTGCAAAATATGTGTGGAATTTGACCATTTCTCACTAACAGCACTGCTGCTACACTGTCCCAAGCCACCATCCTCTCTCACGTGGACCACCTCAACTGTCTCCCAACTCATCCCTCTTCTCCTACCTGCCCCATTAGAGTCTATTTCTCAGAAGCAAGCAGTGTGATTCTTGCATAATGTAGGTCACAGCACATCAATTCCCCAGCTCAAAACTCATCAATGACTCATCACATTTTTTTTTAAGGGAGGTACTGGGGATTGAACCCAGGACCTCATGCATGATAAGCATGCACTCTATCACTGAGCTATACCTACTCCCTCCCCAACATATTTAGAATAAAATCCAGAATCTTGTCTGTTGCTTACAAGCCACCCTGATCGGTCCCTGACTTCTTCCTCCATTCCCATCCCGCTGCCTTCACTCACTGTACTCCAGCTTTCCTGTCCTCCTTGCTCTCCCTGGAACATCTCCTGCCTCAGGACCTTTGCACTTGCTGTTCCCGCTACCTAAAACACTCTTCCTCACGATATTCACATGGCTTGCTCCCTACCTCAGGTCTTTTTCACATGTCACTTCCCACAGAACAGAAAGACCTTCCATGATCTCCCAAGCTAAATAGAAACCCTCTCTCCTCACATTTTAGTTCCTTATAGAGTCTTATTTTTCATAGAACTAGTCATTAACTCATATATATATATATATATGCACACACAAATGTGTTTTCATAAAAATAATCATTACTTGGCAAAAAATAAATACACATACATAATACATACACAGACATCTATGCACATCTATCTTCCCCATTAGACTGTAAGCTCCATGAGGGAGGCCTGTTTACCTTATTCACCACCATATATTCAATGCATAGAATAGTGTGTGGCATATAATAGAAGCTTCTTAAAGTTTTTTTGGAAAAAATGAACAAAGGAGAGAAAATTGGGTGTGTCAGGGCCACAAAGAGGCCATTTCTGCTAAGAGCATAAGTCAGGGAGCGGAAGAAAAGAGTCCTCCCCTTCTAACTCCTCACGTGGTGTAGACGGGCCTTGAGCACTCAGTCCCTCCCATCCTTCTGCCCTCTCACCTTTCATCATGTCCGCCGTCCCTTGCCCACCCCCCACCTCCACACACTCTGCCCACAGAGCTGCTGCTTCCTGCCCTCCGGACAGCCACGCTCTTGCACCCCTCTGGATTGCAACTGCCCCTCTGATTTCACTGCTTTTCACCTTTCAAGCTGGGCCTCAGCTGTGAGCAACCTGCGTGACACCCCCGGGAAGAGCTGGCTGCACCCCTGCTCGGTCCCCAGCACCTTGCAGCAGAGCTCTGTTAGCACACATCACACTGCATTGTAATCATCTGTTTACAGGTTCATCTCCCTTATTAGACAGTGAGCCCAAGGGAAGGGACCCTGTTTTCACATTTACACCCTGTTTTACATTTAAATGTCTCTCCTCTTACAGGGGCAGAAAAGAACCTGGTTCTTACCAGGCACTTCAATCCTTGATGAATAAATGCTTCAATCAATTAACCCAACTAGAATTCCTCTTAGGTTCACTAGTTTTGCTAATGGCATCCCTCTGTCTAAACCAACTGTGACTAAGATAGTTATAAAATAGTCACTGGCGTTAGAAATGTAGTAATTCTTTGGACACTTTCTTTTTTAATATTAATTTATTCATCCATAAACTCTTCACTTTTTGGGAGTGGGGGGTGCTGAGTGGGGGGAGATAATTATGTATTATGTATGTATTTTGATGGAGGTACTGGAGATTGAACCCAGGACCTCAAGCATGCTAAGCACACACTCTACCACTGAGCTATACCCTCTGCCCCTGGACAGTTTCTATGCATCCTTCAAAGTACAGTTCTGAACATGTCATGACCCTGCTCAAAAACCTTCCATGGCTCCCTATTACCTAACAGAATAAACTCATTAACATAGACTTTAAGGTCCCCCATGATCTGGCCTCAATCTGCCTCTCTTGACCTAATTCCTACTTAACCACCTACCACCTTCTTTACACTCCAACAAACCAAAGTACTCATCTTTCCCGAAATACACACTTTCCAATAGCTCTGCCTGTCTTTTCGTTATTCCACTGTTCGAGAATGTCCTTTTTTCTCTCTTATCACGGTTTATTGAGATTCTACTCAACTTCAGCACTATGTATTTATTCCTGCCTCGGGTATTCACTAGGTGTGTGCCATGTCGGGCATCACTCTGCATGCTGGGAATGTTCACAGCAGCTCACTCTGCTAAATGGGATGCACAAAACCCCTGCCTTCATGGAGCTTTCCTTTCAACCAAACAAGGCACACAAGCTGCTTTCATGCAGTATATAGTCTAGTGGGAAAGATAAATGTGTGTGTGTGTGTGTGTGTGTGTGTGTGTGTGTTTGCCCTGTAATGACTAGCTGTACAGAAATTAGAATATAAAGCTGTGCAATGAAACAGAATGTGATGGTGGTCACAGGAGGCCTTCCTCTGGAGGCAACACTTGAGCAGAGACCTGAATGAAAGGAGCAGAGACAATAATACATAAAGAAACAAAATCATTTTGATAACATAGAAATCATAAAGAGATGCCAGGGTACTATTGCAGAGGAGCCAACAGTAAGGTGAGGGGAGCGACTATCATATATACGGTGATCCCAAAAGGCCCCTCTGCGGAGGTGCCGTTTGAGCTAAGAGTGAAGATGCAAAGGAGCCAGCCAGGAAGGCAGCTAAGGAATGCGTACTCCAGAAAGAGAAAGCATTGTCCAGTGGGGTGAGGAAAGATGAGTCCCAGGACTAGAACGTGGGCCAGCAGAGCAGACCTAATAGGAGGAAGGGCAGGTTGGCACCAGGAAGGGTGGCCAGGGAGCCAGGGGTAGATGGTGTGAGTCCCCTCTTTGCCTGGCAAAGAGCTGGGGGAGGGGGGAGGCAACAGTCTTCACCCACTTGCTGTCAACCTGCTTCCCCCTTCAGCATTTCCCAGGCTCCCTTGACAACCATCTTCAAGCAAAGTCTGGCCACTGGGAAACCCCAGTGAGAGACCAGAAGATAGGGAGAAGGAAGAAGCCAGAGCATGTCTCCCTCCCCCTCTTGCCTCCAGCTGGCATTTTCTGACAACAGCCTTGTTCCTTTGTCATCACAGATTCCCACCAGACAGCACCCTGCTCCGAGGTCCAAACTGCCACCAAGGGGACCCACTGTGGTTGAG